GAATTAACAAGGAAAGATCACCGTAGGTATATCAATTGCATCATTTGAAAGATACTTAAGAGATCACACGACTCATTTAGCAATGTACCGGAAAACTTTTCATCCTGTGGGACAGCGAGGATTCTTGGCCCTCCTATAACAGAAAACGCACTTCTTTGCTCTTGAGTTTCCCTATAAGAACTTTTATTGGCATACGCATCGCACCGATGTTGTAATTGCAAGAAATGGAAATAAGACCATCGGTAAAGCTCATGACACCGAAAGGGATTGGTATTCCATATGGTATCATAGCGTTACTATTAATGGCCTATGTGTGAGGAGGATACTGCGTCTTAATGGCTTCAACTTAACTCAAAAATTTTGACTTTACAGACTAATTTGGTTTTTAAACGCTCTTTTGCATTGGCCAACGCAAAAGCTCTTATTAGGTGCCGCGAAGTAAGCGAGCATTGGCTAGTTACTAATAAAAATGATTGTCAGTGCGATCTCTAATTTGGAAAATTAAGAATAAAAACCTGAAGTGTACCCTGGATTATTGCTTTCTAGAGCATATATTTAATAAGACATAATTTATAACAAATATTAATAGAGTTGTTGCGTTATGAATATTTTTATATTATTTTAAATTTTTAATTTAATTAATTACTAACTTGGACTAATCAAAGTGACCTTAAATACAAGTCAAATTAAAATTTAAATTAATTATTGGATAACTTTAAAATAATAAATGTAATTTGTTAAAAAGTGGTTTGTTAATTGATCAGGATTTCATCTTGAAACAAAAAGTTAAAATTCCTAAGAAAACACGATAGTAGCGATACTATCGATGTTTTATTGACCAAAACATCGAAAAATCGATAGCTTCAAACATCGATGTTTTTGCAGCGCTAGGAGGCCTTCCTCCTCCTCTGTTACCAGCATCACGGCCGTGTTGGCTACTTTCAGACATGGCCAAACCAGCGCACATTAGGTCAAATGATTACTTTTTCTGTGCGTAATTAATAGCAGCTATAATATTGCATTATTTTAATCCTTTACATTAAGTCAGTAAATAAAAGGTGAAAACATGACTTGACTTTCGTTAAACAGACTTTTTTATGTTCCAATGATGATTATATGTGTTTAGGTAGTTCTCGAAAACATTGTCCAATTAGCTTGGTTTTGAGATAAGTTATTTTCTTAGCATACCTTCCCCCTTAAAATGAGCTACATAATAAAACAAGTATACTCGTATGTCCATAAATAGCTTCTTATAGCTATTAATTAAAGCATTATGGAAATACCTATATAATAAGAAGAGAGATTCCTAAGGCAGTTAGTCTTCATAAAACACTTCATTTTCACTTGAGGCTTGAGGTTGTATTCCCAATTCTATACCGATATTATGTATACTCAGAAAGCTAATTCTGCCTTGGGACACATTTAACAAAAACCCCTGGTAACTTGAAAGAATACGGATGTTTTTAAAACTAATTTGTTTAAAGAATGTATAAAGCTCTATTCACCTTGGGCAAAAATTTCGAAATTGCAATCCATAGATTCTCTCAAGGAAGGCTGTTCATCAATTGTCTTTTCGAATCGGCGCGAGAGGCTTTGTAACATATTCATGGTAACGCTACAGGGGTGAAATGTAATCCAAATTTTTTTGTTATTACATACTTCCATTTTCACTATTTATCACCATTAAAATGGACTATTTTATTGACAGCTGCTGTTTTTGCACAGCGCCACTTGCGGCCGGATAAAATACTAAAATTTTGGCAAAGCAACTTTTAGCGAAAGGAGGACACAAATGCAATTTTTGGAGAAAAGTTACAATCCGGCAACAGTGACGTGTGTGTCAAGACTAGGGATGTTGCGAATGTGGAATTTTAGACATCCGCGGATACGAATGCGAATGCGGTTGTCAAGTATTTTTAAGAAATAATTTAGCTGGATAAATTAGGTGATTTATTAGGTAAATAAAAAATGGAAAAGGTAGTCATTTTTAATAATGTTCTTTTTTTTTAATTTAGCCCTTGAATTTAAAAATTTGAATTGGGTTACAGCCTGTTTCTTAAAGTGTCGTAAACCAAACCTGCGCCACTAAATAACTACTCGCTCAAGGCGAATAACTTGGAAAACTTGACAAAATTGTAAATTCTCTTCGATTGACGCTGCACCGGTTGAGAAGACTTTTTTTTGCAGTGCCATAACTAATTTCTGAGAATTGCATCGGGGCTGCAAATGTCGGATGCATCCTCCTGCCTTTCAGCTTCACAATCTAGCATCATGAAAAGATCGTTGTTTAAACACCGTTATTTTCCATAGAATTCTTCATTCTCATTCTTTTGGTTGTTTCAGAATTTGAAGAGCCTGTAACGTCATCAGCGATTTTCAATTTTAGTTTGTATAATTCATTTTTAGTCCTTCCTTCTGGGACTGGTTTGAAAAATGTGTGCTTATAGCGAGGTTGTATATAGGTGCAAATTCCAAAAAAAAATTAGCACGAATTTTTTACACAATATGAGTCATGATAAAACGAGTAACAGGCCAACCTATTATTACCGGCGTAAATTTTTCTACGCACGCACACAAGTTTTTCACATTTGAGTAACCGGAATAAATTTGCGTGCGAGATTTTTCAGAATTGCATTTCTGTCAAATTTCAGAAGTTGAGCAAAGTTTGAGCATAAATGCAGAATAGTTTCTTAAACTAAAAAAAAAAAACATATGGGGATCGATAGAGATCATTGATGTGAATATAACGGTATATTTCTTTTCTTGTTGAAACAACAATTACAAAAGTTATTAAGGGTCAAAGTTCAAATTAAACAATTTTTTAAATCAAAATTTCTTAAAAACGAATGTATGGGATGCTTTCCATTTCTAGACAACCGGAAAATGAAAATTACTGTTTACATTGTAGTATGTACCACAAAAACGTATATTTTCTATAAAAAATCATAACTCAGAAAAAAAAATCTTCGCTATTAGAGATTTGGGTTGATTGTAGTTCAAAGTGTCTCTTTCCCGGTAAAAAAGTTTGAGAGAAAAAAAAAATACCCTTTTTGAGAAATTAAATTTATAAAAAAATTTGCACTTTTTGTTTATTGTTAAATAAAAATTTTAAATAATGAAAATCAATAATTACATTATTCTATCTTGAAGTGACAAGAATTACTGACATTTTCCGAGCCAAAAGAAAAAATACGTGTCTCATTATTTGGACCAACAAACAATGTATTTGAGTTTGGTCGAAATTAAAAATCATGCTCGTACCTGACCGGTTGTCTGGAAATGGAAAGTATCATGGATTTTAAAAGTTTTGGTCTCAATCGATTGGAAATTTAGTTCCCTTTAACTTGATCTACATACTTTATATATGCCTTGCTTAGTTTTCACAAAAATCTAATTAATGTACGCAAAAAAGGAATTCCGCTTCTCTTCTGCGACAACACAGAAAGGAGAATTCTACTTAGGGAGGATTATATTTATATCAAATTAAAGGGAATCAAATCTCCTATCAAATGAGATTAAATTTTGACTTAAAGAATTGTTTAATTTGAACCTTGGCCCTTAATAACTTTTGTAGTTGTTGTTTCCGCAAATAAAAATATACCGTTATGTTCAGCTCAATCATCTCTATCGACCCCAATATTTATTTTTTTTATTTGAGAATCGGAGCTATTCTGCAGTTGTTCAAAAATTTTAATTCATAGTCGCGATTTTATGACAATCAGCTGACTGAGTTGAGCATTAAATCAATAGAAAATGGCTCAACAACAGAAGAAGATAAAATAAATAAAATTTTACTTTTTTCACTTTGTTGCTGCATTATATATTTTCATTTAATATTCGTAAATAGCTGCTGCCATTTGACATTTCGCATGTCGCACTGACAATATAAGTTGTGTTTAATGAAACCGATAAAAGTGCAGAGCAGCTCAAGTTAGAGCAGCTGTCAAAAAAACAAAAGAGCAAGTTAGAGCAACTCAGATCATAAACCTCATGAAACACTTTTCAGGCAGAAATTCTCAAAACAGTTGATTGCTCGACAGTTCAATTTGTCAATTGTAAAGTGTGTGTGTGTGTGTGTGTGTGTGTGTTTGCTTGCTCTAAGTTACTCCATCATGCACTCCATGGTGCAGAAAATCGTGCTCTAAGTTGCTCTAGTTCCACTTAGCGCAGGCTCATGAAACAAAAAGTAGAGTAAGTTAGAGCAAGAAAAATCCTCATGAAACACAATTTTGTGAGATATCTTAACCTGGCGTAACCTAGAGCAGCTCATTAAACGCAGCTGTAATTTAACACCGTTTACGCTTTTGTGCAAAACAAAGCGATCATTTTTGCCTTTCGCATTTTTGCATCAAAGAGTGAACCTCAGTATATCCAATAAAAAAAACTGTGGTGAAGTCCTTTATGTGGATAAAGTTTCCAGAGGTGAAATTTTAGGTAGCTCACAATTTCTTACACGCATGGTTGCTTTTCAGCACCAATGAAAGAAACTTAAGAAACATTAAAAAAAATATGCATATAGAGCATTAATTTCTGAAAGAAATACCATATAATGTATGTACTCTGATTAACAATATTAAAAAGTGTATTATAACCACCGTTTAATGTTATATCTGATACAAATTAATTTTGCTACTCGGAACGCTCTGCCCATTGCCACTGAATATTAGGTTTACTTAAAATTACATCCCTGGTCCTTGTTCTTTCTGTATTGCATCGTGGTGAATTCACATTTCTCAGAAATTTGACAAAAAAACAAAATGGAGTATTTTATTTGCTAATTTTTGCGATTTCTATTGTTTAATGTAAATTTTATATATTTTTAGGATATGTTGGGGCAACAAAGAAGGCGCAGTTTGAAAATGAAGTTATTAGTATGAAGTAGCAGCGCAGGCACATTTGGAAAATTATGCCGATAAGCAAGATGGAATTTGGGAAAATAAGTGCCTGGTTGCGGCATATCTATGTATTAAAAAATTATTTAATTAAATGAAACTGTGCTTAATAGAAATGTTATAAATCAAGTGGCGTTATTTAAAATGTGCTCCAAACATTTGGCCACGTTTTTTTCGTCTCCTCAACGTGCTAAGTTACAAGTTAAGATGACTGCCACCACGATCGGTAAGAAGCCCGAAGCAAAGGGAAAACAACCTTCCAGGAAGCTGCCTGCTGTCCCCGAGTCGTAGCTGAAGTTCAGCAAGAAGCAGGTCAGCAAACGTGCTACCCTGATCAAGCGTAAACTAAAGCGCTCGGCTGTGATTGCACTCCGCAAACGTGAAAACTTGGTGCATGCTGAGAAATATCAAGCAAAATATCTCCGTGATGGACGCCGTGAGAATAAGTTGCGCCGTCTGGCAAAAAACGCAGCCCATTCTACGTGCCTGCAGAAGACAAATTGGCTTTTGTGATCTGTATCCGCGGTATCAACAAAGTTGCACCAAAAGTACGTAAAGTTTTACTGTTGTTCCGTTTTCGCCACGTTAACTACGGTTTTTTCATCAAATTGAACCATTAATATGCTACGCATTGCCGAACCCTATATCACATGGGGTTATCCAAATCTTAAATCAGTTCGTGAATTGATCTACAAACGTGGAATTGTCAAGCACGACCATCAACGTGTCTCAATCTCTGACAACTTTGTGATCGAACGCAAATTGCGCAAAGCGCACGATATTTAGTGAGTTGATTATTTGGCGAACGAAATATTCACTGTTGGATCCCAATTCAAGAAAGTTTCCAAATTACTGTGGCCACTACGTTGAGGTTGGTGATTTCGGTAACCGTGAAGATAATATCAACAAACTGCTGCGCAAGATGGTTTAAAGAAATTTTCTGGTGTACAAGGTGCAGTATTTTTATTTCGAAAATATATAATAATACAAATAGAAAATAATGTTGTTTTTTTATAACTTTCTGAAGGTTTAACCCACAAATATGCCAAATGGAAGGCAGCTTATATTCACAATTCCTTGAATAGTGTTGAAATTCCATTGCCGTTTGTAAAGGCCATTTCAAAAGGCTCCATTCCACAAAATTAATTTTTTTTGTTTTTTCAGCTCATTAACGATGCACCCAGGATTGCACTTACCGTCTATGAAAATATTTCAAAAAAGTTGGTTAAGCTTAAGTGAAATAGTTTTTTATTAAATATTTATTCCTGGTATTTATTAAAAATAATCAGGCCAATATTAATGTATGAAATGAAGTAAATAAAAATCTAAGAATTTATTTCTTGAATATTTTGTCATAGAGCCGTTATTAAATAAACACATAACTGCATCGTGCGTTGGTCCTGACGTATATAGAATTAATGCATTAGAGAGAGATAATTATAGAAGCTCAACGTGCTAATTTAGGTATACGTAAAAGCTTAAACAGGCGACAGCGTTGATCCGGATTAACTCGGACTTAATCCGGATCAACTGCAGTTAATTCCCGAGTTTATCTGGATCAACGCTGCCGTTTGTTTATCCTTTTACATATGTATGTATTTACCTGTTACTCACCTGACATATACTTCAACTGCGAAAATAATGACAATTATAATTTATTTAGATGCATATTTTAGCTAAATGTTATTTCATCGCCTGGATAAAAGATCGTTGCATGTTACTTTCGGCAGGTTTCGGGAAATCACCATTGAAGTTTGGAATGCAATTTCTCAGAAACATGACTACAGATTTTCTCCAAAGTGTCGGAGAATGCTATGTACTAGTTCACGAAATTCTTAAATTATCTTATTTTTTAGTTTAGTGTCAGCCATTTATGAGTTTAATAAATTTTCTCGTATACGCCATTTTTCAAAAATGTTGCAGTCAGTTTTAAAATGTGATACAATTTTTTATAAATTAACGATACTTTTCACTAATCAGCCTAATCGTGAGTTTCGCCCAAACAAAATTTCGCCAGAAATGTTTTCATCCACCCGTAGTGAATAAACGGAAACGAAAAGTGAAAAGGTTGCCCGGTTCGAGAAAACGAAACTCATGATAAGGCTGAATATGTCGGAAACTAAAGCAGATATTTAAAAATACATGACGCTATTTGAAAGATCTTGATTAGTTTAGTACGACAGCATTACAAACGTAGTTTGTACCAAATGATTTTAGTCAATTACTCGAAAACTAAAGGAGATATAAAAAAAACTGTTAACAAAAAAGCTAAATATCTAATTTTAAAATATATAACTGCATCTTAAACTAAAAACGGTCAAAATGACGCTTACGGAAATTTTCCATCCAAGCGACGATATTTGAATGCTACTAATTTCGAGCCAGTACGTAAATTTTCGGGAAAAAGTTAAGAAGTATATTCATACGCTGAAAAGATATTTTCGCAGACTCATGATTTATTTAAAGTATATCATCGACACTATTTCCAATTCTATGTGAATCATTCGCTTCCATAATTTAATTTGTGCATTCAATATATTTCACAATTAACTTACAATACTAAATTACAAAAATTTCTGCAACGACCTCGACACAGTAAAATAAAAAAATTGGTATTTATTAGTAAAATAAATATTCTTAATACATTTATATTTCAGTTAAACCTGAGATGTTCAATCGCACTGCAATACTTTTCTATCCATTTTTCCTGTGCTAAAATAATTTTCACCACATAAAATTGCTGCACAACACCCTTATTGCCGAAAAAGCGTTGCTTGCAACACTAGTCCTTTATGGGGACCAAACTTGGTGGAAAAAAATAGCTAAATTTGTTTACTGGATATACTGAGGGCCTGTGCCAATTGATAGAAAAGTTCTCTGGATAGTAAATTTTTGACAGCTTTGAGGTGAATAAAAATGTTTGATACGGCAGGGCTAGTGAAAAATTTGACAGCAAGCATTATCAAGAAGAAGAACGAACAACGCACGTATACACATAAATTAAAGAAAACAAAAGCGAGTGGAAATAAAAGAACATGGTCCCGCCGGCAAAAAAAAATAAAGAAAAGCTATATAACTTGTAAGATCTAATTTCAGATTTACATATGAAAAGGCGTTATGTATTTCTTTAATTAAAAATACAATTTTACAGGGAGCAGTTCAGAACGCAGAATCCTTCTGGAAAAGCGCATTGACAAGGATGTTTGGTTCAGTTCAAAGAACGCCAACAGCAACGAAGGCTGGAAGTGAGTAAGAGCAATATAAATAATTTGAAGACTTTATTAAGCAAATGACTTCGTACTTCACTGACCATCCGTGGCGCTTTTTGGGAATGTGAGTTACAATTTTTCGAAACGAAGCAGAGGACAACCTAAGATACATTTTTGTAGTCTTATTATCGCCGTTCATAATGCTGCTTAGTATTTTGGAATAAACGTCTTGTTGCATGTACATAATACCCTAAAACGACATATGTTTTTATTGGAAACAATTGTACACGGTTTTAACCATTTATGTGAACACACTTACCAGACGGTTTTGACGTGTTTTTATTTCTAATATTACTGCTAAAAGGTCTAATAAATGCATGGATTTCAGTTCCAGAAGAATTGAAATCATCAAAGGCAAATATTTTCTATATAATTGCTGTATTTTATAAATTGCAAACTCGATAGTCTTCTTGTGCATTAAAGCAACTGTCAAAAATTTCCAGCAGTAAAAAGTTACGAATTGGCACAGCAGAAATGTAAAATTTTCTCACCATAGTAAAAAGTTTTTCCACCATAGAACTTTTCTATCAATTGGCACAGGCCCTGAGTAGTGTGTTGGAGCAATATCGTTGAGAGAAATACATTGCAAGGCAGTGTTGCCATCTTTTGATTTTCAAAAAGCACCAACAAACTTGGAAAAAAAAGCGTTTCACTACACTAAAAAAGCACCAAATTTTTTTGAATCAAGGGATGCTTTTTTCATAACATAATACCGAAGTACTGCACATTAAAACTGGTATATCTCGAGAAAGAAAAATCGAATCGCAACAAACGAAAATGATGCCCTAATTAGAAATGAGCAAATAATTTGATGTTTTCATCATATAACCTCAAATATCGCTAAAACCCGTGTTTTTGGCACTTTGCGGTTAGGGTATCTCTAAATTCTAGTGCTAGAGCAATTGTGAAACCAGTGTGGATTCAGCTCTAAGAAACGATGTGTTTTACTCAGGTGGTAAAAAAAAGAACAAAATTTGTACAAATAATTAGAAATTAAAAAAAGAAATACTTAACTTACTTGCGTACTAGCATTTTCAACGCAAATAGAATTTAACAAGGTGAGTTTGCAACTTCAGCTTTTTATCAATTATGGTTGTATTTTAGTCCATTTAAATTTATAGATTCTTGTAAATTCAGTGCTGCCACAGCTTTAAATATTTCAAATTATTTCAGGTTTTAACTATCTCGAAGTAATTTTAGTTCAGAAAAAAGCACTAAAAAAGGCACTAGGCACTAAATAATTTTTTTTTGGCGTTTTAATTTTCAAAAAGCACTAAATCTAGTGCTTAAAGCACCAAGTTGGCAACTATGTTGCAAGGTTTGAAGTGCACGCCGTTTAAGAGAACAAGCACGCGTTCACCGACTGAAAAAGAGCATGTTGAAGCAGTCAAACGTCAACAGCTGATGAAAAACCCAGCAAAAATAGTATACACCTGCCTTTTGTATAAAGTGAGGATTGACATACCTATGTGTATATGTATGTGTATGGAATGTATGCATACGTATGTTTGTATGTAAATATTTAGAATATTGATGCAGCAGGGTTGCATGCACAAATTAGTATGAAGCAAGACCTTCAGATATGCACTTCAAATGATACCAAATACATACATACATATGTATGTAAATATGTACAAACAATGGCGACTTGATAGATTTCCAGAATCGATGCTGTATTTGTAGACAAAAATACTTACAAGATTCGCGATTAAGCGGCAAATCCCTCAAATCTGAAAGTGTTTGCAACAAGCTCTGTACGTGTTCCATGACAGTTAATATATTTTTGGATTTCGATGTAATTACTATTACACTTTCACTTTTCTAAATTCGTCGCACGTTGTTGAAGCACTTGAACTGAAAAACACAAATTCGTTTAAATGAGTACAAATATAATGACTGCAACTGCAGATGTCGGATGAACTTTAAGAACTGAAAGTAAAAATAATTTTTGCTTCGGATGGGATAGGTAACGACGTGGCGACGGTGGTACCGAACGCATTTCTTTATCAGTTCTTCGTCTAGGCAGCAAGCAAGATAAATAATCGATCTGGCATGACAATGCAAAGAACGAAAGCAGTAGACTCCGCTGGAATAAAACGTTATCATAAATGACGTTACATGACGTCAAATACTTGAAAATTTATCAGTGAAGGGCTATATACATACATATGTATCTATAAATGGGTGCGTATTATATAATAATTTGCAAAAACATATCTATGTATTTGTAGGGAGTGTCAGTGTGAAATAAATCATTACGGTGGCACTATAACAGAAGACCAGGTAGATTCTATATTCTAATTCGAAATTTTAACACAGCACAGAGAAAATTACTCAGGCAAAACGCCCACATTCAATAGAAAATACAAATTTTTTAAATAATTTTACTTCATACGAAAGTAAAAATGCAGACTTTACAAAGAAACGTTAACAAAAAACAAACGAAAATATTTTATAGTTTGTCTAGGATTGAGGAAAACCACTCAAACGAAAAGAAATAACGCTTAAAGTAGGTATTTTAAAAAACAAAAATTAAATAGAAATCTTTTAACAAATCTGAAAACTTTTAATGGTAAGACGAGTTGTTTTAGAATTTATAATAGTACTTGTCCTGAGCAATGTTTTTTAACGGACTTCAAAAAAAGGAGGAGGTTATCAATTCGTCGGAATATTTTTTTTCAAATGTATGTTACCGTATAACTTTTGACCACGTTAACGGATTCCTTTAGTTCTTTTTGTAAAGGAAAATGGCCCCATACAAAGTTGGTTTAGATCCGATCTTTGGATCAAGAAGAAATTAACAGTAATCTTAAATTTTTATATGAGATTTGAAGTTGGTTTTGTTTTTTTTTCTTAAATATTAATTGCTTTATTAATTATTTGCTGAAAATTAAAAACATTTTGTGAAGATGTACTTGAAAACGTATAGCAAATACTCTGGCTCCCAGCTAATTATGTAAAAGGGTATTGAAAAAGAAATCCGAAACCTCAACACTTAAACCGAAGAGAGACAGCCAAATTTTTCAAATGGAAAATATAGTCTTTAGTGAAAATTGTTTTAAAAAACGATTTGTGTTGTCTTACGTTAAATTGCATGATCTGACTAGCGTGATGCATATTCAGAAAAGCGTCATTTGAAGAAAGGCAAGAACCAATATATTTTTAAGAACATTCTCATACGTATATTTTTATTAATCAATTACTATAAAACTAATTTATAAGATCAATAAATATTTTATAATATATATTTTAAACATCAAATGTGGTGCCGCTATTTTATTTCAACATTACGCAAACAAAACACAAGTAAATAAGTGCAAGTTGAAGAAACTTTCAACGTCTTGCTCTTATGTGTCAAGTACAATAATTATACCGAGTTTGGTACAAGTTGATGGAACGGTTGCCGAGATACACATATGTGGTCATAAGTGGGCGGTGTCACGCCCATATTCCAAATATTTGTTATAAACGTATTTCTTGGTAAAGTTTTATTGCAGGCATCAATTTTGAATATATTCGCTTCAGTAGTTACTGATATATATAAGATTTCGTATTTCTGTTAACTGTGTCAAGTTTAGGAGAAATTGGTGAAGCAGTTATCGAGATATACACACGTAATCATAAGTGGGCCCATTTTTCAAAAATTTCTAATATCCTTATTTTCCCCCTAAAGGTCATTGTAAATATCGGAGTTGCGAATCTCTAACTTAATAGATTTTTCTTTCCATTCTAAGCATTTATGTATAGATACATTTGTCTATATCTACCTTGTTTCCTTTAGGATGTTACAAACAACCGGTATGTGAACAAAGTTTCAATACCCTTGTGCACAAGTGCGCTCGGGTATAATAAATGATATTCTATGATTTAAATATGCACATTTTGAAATATTGAACATAAATTAAAAAAAAAACGATTTGAAAGTCTATTGTATGTTGAATATTCACCAAGCGAAGTAGTTCACTTCGAATCATTTTCACACTATCGTATACCGTATTTACCAGTGAAATGAATGTCACTCGCACAGATAAAATCGCAAAACAATTGCTAATTTTCAGAAATGTACGAAATACTCGTACGTACATACATATGTTCAAAACTGTTTGTTTACTGAAATTGAATTTAATGGCTTTGACAGCTGTTATCCCAACTTCGAAATTTCTATGATAAAGTAACCATTTCGTTGAAGTAAATTTTTCGCCGGTGAAATGTTTCACCGAATATTCATGATAAAGCTGATTGAAAATGTCGTTTTAAAAGTAAACCTTTCCATACAAATTTGTAAACGTCAATTTCTCTGTGTGAACAGTACCTAAATTAAGTTTATAAATAAAAATTCTCGAATCCATATATGTATGTATGCACAAGTGTATGTATGTATACATATGTATGTATGTATGCTCAACCCTATGTATGCGTGCGTAGGTACAATATTGTTTCCAATTGCGACAGAGTGAAGAGCAACAAGAGGATTCGCTTGGCTCGATCTATATTAAAAACAATTCGTATACACTTACGTATGATCAAAAAGAAAACACAATACAAGCACAATATGAAATATATAATTCGCACTAAAATCGCATAAAATATTCCAACAACAAAGAACGAGACTTTCTAAAATAGACACAAGCAAATTTTAGCAGAGCCAAACCCGCGTAGAAACACGTTAGAGATGATGATAATTTTTCGAATTTGCTTTTAAACTTTGTATAAAGAGAGATTTTCCACAAAAAAAATTAACGGAACATTTGTTTGCATTAATTAATGTTTGTAAATTTTTGTTTTATGCGTGCCGCGTAACGAGCAACCCACTGACGTCACTCAAAAAAATCACTGATCGCTCGTGAAATTTACCACTTATAATTTTTTATTTTACCAAATTAAAACATCCCGATGGCAATCAACTTAATCACAGTCACAATAAATTAGTCTTACATTAACC